AGTACAGACAGAGACAGAGATACAGAAAGCAGGAAATCACCCCCCCAGGGGAGATGGCCATGCCGCAATCCCTTCTCCTCCATTCTCCTCTTGGGCACACATGCACATGCGCCCAGCATGAGTTTAAGCCACCAGGTCCAAGACGCGAACTGTGGTCGACTACATGAGAGTCCAGCGACATGGCCATTACGCTAACTGCTGGTCCCAGGGAGGTGATTTCTTACTTTCCCCTTCTCCATCTCTCTCCAGCAAGTGTATGCATCCTATGGCAAAAATCTCATAAAGAAAAAAAAAAGGAAGCAAGCAAGAAACGAGAAAAGAAAAGAAAAAGAAACAAAAGGTGGAAGGGGCCTTTGGGACAGTAAGGAATAGAACAGGTCATCATGGTAAGGCCGTGATGTACACTGGCGCCTTTAAGAGAGAGGGCGCAGACCTGACCCCCACACTTATCCCATCACATGATAACCTACACCCCCTGAGACTCTGCAAGGAATATGCACCATTAAGAAGGCCCTCACTAGACGGTCCCTTGACTCTGGGCCTCCAGAATGGTGAGTTAATTAACTCTTTATTCTTCATAAATTACCTAGTCTCTAATATTCAGTTAAGACAACAGAAGAGCAGACTAACACATAAAACTGGTACTAAGAAATGGGGCCACCCTTAGGAACGTACACCTGAGAAGAATGTAGACGCTGATTTGGAACTGGGTAATGGGTAGAAACTGGAAGGATCTGGAGAAGCAGGTAGAACACGCCTAGATTCTCGTGAGGGCTCAGAAGATGAGGAGACAGGGAAAGTTTGCAGCATCTTAGAAATTGACTAAGTGGTCGTGACTTGAAAGTTGATAGAGATATAGAAAGTAGGGGACCAGCAGATGGTGTAATGGTTAGGTCGCTGGACTCTCACATGGCCAACTGCAGTTCAAGTCCTGGATCTGGTAGCTTCACACTCAATCCAGGTGTGTGTGTGTGCATGCCCAAAATCATGAGATGAGAATGGAGAAGGGATTATGGTATGGGTATGGCCATCCCCCCAGAGGGGTGATTTCTTGCATCCTGTCTGTCTGTCTCTCTCTCTAGTGAGTGTATGTATCCTATAGGAAAAAAAAATCTCTCTTTAAAAAAAAAAAAAGAAGGGAACCAGCAGTTAGCGTAATGGCTATGTCGCTGGACTCTCACGTAGTCGACCGTGGTTCACATCCTGGACCCGGTGGCTTAAAACTCAGGCCGGGCGCGTGTGCGTGCGTGCCCAAGATCCCGAGAGGAGAATGGAGGAGAAGGGATTGAGGCGTGACCATCCCCTCTGGGGGGTGATTTCTCGCTTTCTGTCTCTATGTCTCTCTCTGTCTGTCTGGCGAGCTCACGCACCCTATAGTGAAAAACCTCTCAAAGAAAAAAAAAAAGAAAAGAAAAAACAGGAACAGTAAGGAAGAAGAGGCCAAGCCTGCAAGGAGAAAGCGCCAGCCGAGCGGCAGTTACAGCATAAAGAGAAGGGGCCTGGAGCAAGCTGCCGAGGGTTGCAGTTTCCTCATCTGTAAAATGGCATCAGCAGTTCCCTCCCTCGGAGTCAGTGAGTTTAACCCCGTACCACACAGCTGGCAAGATCCGAACTAGGAAGGGCTGACTCGGGAAATTTAGGGAGTGAACCCTAGGAGCCCTGGACAGCTACTAGACCGTGACTTCTAACAGGCGATGTTCGCGTCAACACCCCGAGGAGAGTGCTGGGTCTCGGGAGCTGCCTGGCATGCTCGGGGGCGGTGGTGGGAAACGGCGACTCTGCCCGACCACGGATAGCTGTCCCTGCTGCCAGATTTCCCGCTTGGACGGGTAACTGGGCAAACCGTAGTGCGACTAAGATGAAGAAAAGGGGAAGAAACGTTGTCTTTGAACCCAAGTGCAACATGGCCGTAGGCTGACAAGACAGGGACACTCATCAGAAAGCTGGCTCAAGATTTCAAAGGAGGATTAAAAACGTGTAAAAATAAAAATGAACTCCCTTGGAAAATCCTGGTGCTCGATTCACTCACGGAAGGTCAGAACCCTCTCTTTACACTGCATTTATTTTTCTCAAACCAAGTAATCAGATTTCCTTACTTTGGCAGAGGCCACGTGCAGAAAACAAAGAAATGAGAATCAAAGTATTAATGGATTTGACATAAAACAGAGTAAGAAAAATTACCTTAACATTTTAAAATGAAAACTAGACTCGAAGTTAATAAACTTATAAATGATATTTTCTAGACACTAAAAGTATACGCCGAGTGGCATTACGGTCTTCCCTAATTAACAGTAAAATCTGGCTCTGTCTAGAATGGTTTCAGAGAGGCCCTCTAGAAGCAAGCAACGCCCTAACCTTATTGTTTACCACTTCGTACCCACTGGAACTGGACTTCTCTGCCAAACGTCCTGATCTTAATTCCTTAGCAGATACGGTGAGCTCTTCAGAGAGCTACTTCATGCGTGCCCATTTTGTGCTGCCAACATACTTAGGTAACACCTAATCGCCAAGGTCACCAGGTGGAAGGGGAAGGGTGGGACTGCGTGGCCCGTTCTCTCTGAGGGACTAACTCTCATACCCCTGAAGTGCCTCGACTGCAGCTCAAGCTCAAATTCTGCCGTGAGTCCGCGTCTGCGTACAAACACCCCTGAACTGACACTGCCGACCGCACACGACTGCAGAGGGGAAGGAAAGAGCTGATGCGGTCTTACAGGGTGGGGCGTAGAATCAAGGGAAGACAGAAAAAAAAGGAATTAGATAAACTTTTAAAAAAGACAAGAAAGATGAGAACCAGCCTGGGAGGAAATCTCGAATAAGCAAGCTCACAGACTCTATCGATCATTGTAGAAAAGGTACACAGCACACACCACATACGACAGGCACTGCTGTAAGGTGCTCACGTGGCGACTCATCTCACACTAACGGTGCTAGCATATTTACTCCCATCGTACCCACTTTATGAAAGAGGAATCAGAGACCCCCGAGATGGTACTAGGTCAAAGGCCATCTAGCCCAATAGTAAAGCCGAGATTCAAACCTTGGCAGCCTGGCTAGAAAGTCGATGCTCTTACCCACTGTCCTAGGCTTCCTCCCTATAAGTAGACACAAAAGCAGCGGTCCAATCAACCTCCTGGTTGTTCTGCTTCTACAGAGGACACACAGTTGGCTCAGTAACGGGTCAAAGGCTACGTCAAACTAGGTGAAACCCAGTTCTGTCATGTCGCGAGCGTATAGATCTAAGAAAGTCACTTCTCCTCTGTAAAGCTGTTTCCTAAAACATCTCTAAGCTCCCTGGGACCAGCAGATGGCGTAATGGCTACGTCGCTGGATTCCCACTTAGTTGACTACAGTTTGAGTCCCAGACCTGGCAACTTAAAACTCACACCGGGCGTGTGCATGTGTGCCCAAATTCCTGAGAGGAGACTAGAAGAGAAGGGGTTGCAGCATAGGTATCCCCCCAGGGTGGGGTGGGGTGGGAGTGAGCAGTGATTTCTCGCTTCGTATTCCCCCAGGGTGGGATGGGGTGGGAGTGAGCAGTGATTTCTCGCTTCCTGTCTCTCCAGCAAGAGCACATGCCCTTTATAGAAATCTCTTACAAGGGAACCAGCAGTTAGCATAATGGCTATGTGGCTGGACTCCCATGCAGTTGACCACGGTTCACGTCCCGGACCCGGTGGCTTAAAACTCACGCCAGGCATGTGTGCATGCGTGCCCAAGATCCCGAGAGGAGAATGGAGGAGAAGGGATTGCGGCGTGACCATCTCCTCTGGGGGGTGATTTCTCGCTTTCTGTCTCTCTATGTCTCTCTCTGTCTGTCTGGCAAGCGCACACGCCCTGTAGCGAAAACCTCTCCAAAAAAAAAAACTCTTACAAGAAAAAAAATGATAAGGTTACTTCTAGTTCTAACAAAATACTGAAGTGAGGGGAAGAAACTAAGCAAAAGCATAAACACGTGTTAATAAAATAATGGTCTACAAGCAACATTACGTTACAGCCATTTCATATCGATACACATGGAACAGGGCTTCTAATAATGAGCTCGAAGGATAAAATGTAGACAGTTTAAAAAAGGTACATTTAAAATAATCAGTTTTTATATTCAATATGGAGCCGTGCTCTGGCCCTCTCCCATACAGACCAGCGTGGCCTAAAGAGCAGCCCAGGCGTAGGGAAGGGACAGTACGGATGTACGCTTTGAACGCGAGGAGACTGAGGTTTTCTAAAAAGCATAAAATGCAGATGCTGTGAATGAGATAGAAAGAAAGAAAATAATGGACGTCAAGACACACGTAACGTGATGGAAAATTGAAACAAAGTGAAGAACGAGAAAGGGGTATCCAAAGGGCTCTAGTCCAACCAACTTACAGCCAAGGACAACCCGCCCTCCCCTCTGGGCCGACCACAACACACATGCGAGAACTCAGAGCAGTGAATGAGCCACTGCTACTGTGCTTGCTTCTTACAGAACTGGGTGTTGGACCAGCAGATGCCGTAATGGCTATGTTGCTGGATTCCCATGTGGTCAACCGTGGTTCAAGTCCCAGACCCGGTGGCTTAAACTCACACCGGGAGCGTGTGCGTGCGTGCCCAAGATCCCGAGAGGAGAAGGGATTGCAGGTGGCCATCCCCCCTGGGGGGTGATTTCTCACCTTCTGTCTCTCTGTCTGTCTCTGTCTTTCTGGTGAGCGCACACACCCTATGACAAAAACCTCTCCAAAAAAGAAAAAAGTGGGTGTCACAGCATACAGCTCAAATAGCAAAGAACAGAAACTCAACACTACAACACAAAACGCTCATTCTTAGGAGGCAAACTATTCCATATACAATAAAGGTGTTCCCCAGAAAGGTCAGAATACTCCCATTAAATGTCAAAAGTCGCACTCTGAAGCAGCAGTACCTGCCTGAGTAGTGTAGGTTACAAACGTGTTAGCGACTATCCGCCCCCGTTTCCCTTCAGAGTCCTCATCGCCCTCTTCGTCGGAGGAGGAGCTGCCGTGCTCTTCCACCAGCTTCTTGGCTGCAGCTTGATTAGCCTTCTTGATTTCCTCGAATTTTCTCCGAGACATAAGCTCTGTTTAGAAGGAAGAAAAAGAAAGAGGTTCCATTTCTGCACACCGATCTTTTAAAAAGCAAAGCATGATGTACTCATGTCATTTTTAAATACACATTTGAAAGCCACTTTAGCCACATTCTAACTAAAATCCATGATAAATAAAAAGATTTTTCAAATATTTTTCTTGACACACAACTACAAAGACGACCACAGTACAAACTTTCCCTTTTCCGAGTAGCCTGCTGAATCCTGCTAATTACGACAGAAACAGAATGACTAGCAAAACAAGAAAGAAATGGTAACAGAAGGATAAGAGAATAAAAAGCTGATCCTCGGGCTGGCGCCACAGCCTGGTGGCAAAAGCAGTGGATCACAGGTGGCCAACCGCAGTCTGACTGCTGGGCTCCGGCCGTGACGACGGGGTGCATATGCGTGTGCGCCCAGAACCCCAACGGGAGTGTGGAGGGAGGGGACTGCCGAGTGACCGTTCTCCGTGGAGGGTTGCCTTCTCCTCCCTCTCTGTCCCTCTGACAAGTGAACCGGCCCTCTAGCAAAAACAAAACAGAACACTGGAGGTCAACCTCAAAATGATGACAGGAACGAAAACGAAAATGGATGTTTTGAAATACAATAAACACAGAGCTTTGAGAGGCTGGGAAGCATGCCCACTGGCAGCACCTTGGAGTCAGGGAGGGCAGTGCTGCTTCAAACTCCCCTCTCCTGAACCTCAGCCCTCCAGCCCACCAGAGTACACACACAATGCTCGGTTTACCCAATATATCTGTAATCTGCTTTTTAAAAATATAATTATTTTATTTAACTTTACTTTTTAATTTGATGGGGGGAAGGGGAAGGGTGGAGGGAGAAAATGAGAAAGCAAGCTATCAGGTCCAGGACTTGAACCATGGTCGGCCATGTGGGAGGTCAGCACATTAACCGCCATGCCTGCCACCCTCTGGAGTTTGCATTTTAGAAAGCTCCAGGAGCTTTTGCCTTCACTGTGGACTTGCTGACATTTTTGTGGTCACAACAAATAAATAAATTTCACAAAACGTTGCCAACACGTGCTTCTTATAACTTCCTTCCAAAAATAACGTTAAATAACCTGGGGTCAGTTCTTCCACTATTCTCTTTAGCACTGTCCGAACTTCTTATTTTGTTAGTTAAATAATAATGGGAAACAGAATCTAATTACTTCACAGTACATATTCCCAGAGAGACTTCAAACCTCTTAAGAGCAAGGACCATGGGACTTTTCCTCAAGCATTAAATATTAATCTCTTATGGACAGCAACCATAGTTAAAAAAAAGAAGCCACAGGGGTCAGCAAGTGGCGCAGTGGGTAAGGCACTGGTCTCCCATATGGTCAACTGTGGTTCAAGTCCTGGACCCAGCAGCTTGAAACTTATGACAGGTATGCGTGCATGTGTGCCCAAAATCCCGAGAAGAGAATGGAGGAGAAGGGACTGTGTGTGGCCATCCACTCTGGGAGCTGATTTCTCTCTCTCTCTCCAAGTGTACGTACTTTATAGCAAACTACCTAATAATAATAATAATTTCAGGGGCTATTCCCTGGGCCACAGGCCGGTGTGTAAGCGCCCTCAGGCTCCACTAAACCATGGTCCTGTAAGGTTTTACTGTAGTGGAGGCGGCCACACCAGATACGTCCATGAGAGGCCATGAAACCCGAGAACAGCAAGGACAGTCAAAGAAGACACCACAGAGCAAGCCTTAGAGGGCACAGCCAGCTCAAGTCCATGCAGGAAGGAGACCTGGAAGCGACAGCAGATGACCACAGGCCCCAGAAGACTGGGGACAAGGAAGAGATGCCAAGCCCGGTCTAAACGGATGTGTGCGACTCAGCCCAGCTTTGCCATGCACAGAAATACTAAAGGCACAAGATCTTACTTTACGAAAAATACACGAAGGCAAAACTTGCTAACCAGATAGTGAGACTGAAACTAAACAAGGGCTGGCTGCCAACTCGGACGTGGAGCGCTGTGGCTGAACCATACTGTAGACTAAATCGCGTCCCCGCCTAGGACAGGGATCGGAGACCTGACATCAGCAGGACGCCACCACAGCCAGCTGAGACGAGCGAGGTGGAAGGGCTGGGCGTGGGTCCGACCACGAGCTCCCCAGGGGCGCGGGCCGGGGCCGCCCCCACCGCTGGCTCCTGGAGGCGGCGCGGC